GAAGAATCAACCCCAATATGAATACCAAAAGTATTCAAATTTGTAATTGTATAGTCAGACAACCATGTACCGTCCAATTTAAGCATAATAGGCATCACAGCAGCCATATGTAGAAATTAATGCCTAAAAAACAATGAAAAGTTGGGAACAATTCAGTCAAAGAAAAACAGCAACACATCAATCAAAAGGAAAAACCGTTATTATGACATTTAATGACAAAGAATGAGTACTTAACAATGCCATAAAACAAATGAAGTAATAATAACAAAATATAGAACGATAATCAAACAACATCAAATCACAATGTTAATTATCAATTCAACAACGCAAATCAGAATCGTCCACAACAAATATACATTAAAACTAAAACTGAACTGAAGCTTTAAGAATTTATTTGTGAAACACAAATATGAAAAATTACACATCATCAGCAGTCCAAAACGCAGTTTACCTGCCGAAAACGAAATATGAACAATTGTGAAATATGAAAAATTGTGAAATATTTTCGAATATAGATATAATGAATATTCCAGAAAACGAAAGTTTCAGATTACCTGCGGAAAACGCAGGCCAAAACACGAAGGTTTGAGCTTACATGCGGAGAACTAAAGTAGCAACACCAGGAGCGAAATATGTAATTGTGAAGATGCGCAGAGACGACATTCGTAGAAGGAAGAACGAAAGAAGGAAAGAAATATGTGAAGATGCGCAGAAATCTGGAACTAGAAGAAACCATTAGAAACGGGTAATTACGTGGCAAAGCTTCCGTATAAAGGAAGGTGGCAGGATTCGAACCTATGGCCGGCCTGCTGGGTTGGGTGGCTATCAGAAAAAATAAATCTTTTCCAAATGAATTTGCCAAACTTCTTTACTTTGACAGGGTACAAATATTTCTATTCTCTATTGATAGATATAGTATTCCAACGGTAGCAAGAGTAACAACACTTTTTATAATGCTACAGCAACATGTAGAGTTAGCAAAATAATAAGAAAAGAAAAGGGGGGTTATGAGCGAACTAGATCCTCTGCTCGAGTCAGA